TGAATCCAATCTGTCAGTTTGACGAGGGGTTAATTCGACTGCATGATGTTTTGTTTTTTATACAGCAACTACCAGAGAAAATTATCAAAAAATTATCAGTTGAAAACCCTGTAGCTTGTACCACGTGATGTCAAATGGGCCAATTATATTGCCCGATATTTGGGTTGGAAAAATAATCAAAATAAAATTTACCGTTTCATTTATTCTTACATCAATTCTCGAATTTTTGATGATGAAATGCCTTGAAATTCTCTTGGCACTATCACTTGACAAATATTTCTACGACGTGTTCGATAACAATTCCAGCCGAAAATTTTGAGCAGTGAACATAATAGTTTTTGAATATTGCCAATTTTAGTAACTTTTTCTAACTTTCATTTCTTCATTTCGAAAAAGCTCTTGTGGGATCGCAACTATGTCGTTAAGCGATTATTTTTTCATTCGCAGCCGTCTCAGAGACAAATAGCTGTGATTTTTCATTAACTTCTTGGATCTTTATTGGAATAAATACCGTGAGTGTCCCAATTGCCGCACGGGACCCCTTTCCCGGACGCAGAGCGCTCTTAGGATAGAATTTAGCATTTATCACATATTCACAGTCATCATGTGCATTTCATTTTGTTACATGCGATTGTCCAATTATTCCCCTTCAAATCACACTATTGACGAATGTTCCACGAGTTTCATACAATTATTAGAAATTAATCTACGTAAGAGTACCCATGGCTGGTCTCTGAGCTGGTGGTTGTGTAGTGCGCGAACGTTAAAAATCATCGATATTGCGTAAGGATTAAACAGCAAAATGTAAGTGAACAATTGATTTTAATAGGTTTCTAGTAGTTGAGCAACAAATTTGGAAAAAGCTGAAATGAAAAAAACAAATATAATCACTTTATAATTGTTTTTTATGGAGGAAATGTTAAATCCGGCATCTCGGACGACTGAATTCGCGGTTGGAGGAGTTCCCGTACACGTGATTTCCAGCCCTTAACCTCAATGTTTTTTTTCTGTCAGTTTCTTTGCTTTCATAAAGATATATTATTTTCTGAAACTCTCGTGCATTAGATAATGAAAAAATTATGAGAATAAAAATAAAAATAACGAATATAAAAAATTCATCCATTTTTTTGAATCTTCTAGGCCTGGAAATACAGAAAAAAAAGCCCGCAAATATACCAATGAGGACTTGCGGAAATCTCTGAAGACTGTCAATTCAGGAAGGACTCTAGGATGAAAAAAACAGAACTTTTAGATAATAGTTGTGGAGACGCTAACGATTCTCACAGCCCTCCCGAAAAAATCCCTCTAAATGAACCATAAACTCAAATATTTTATTGTCTCAACGTTTTTGTTTGTCTATTATTGTGTTGATCACAGTTTATCATTGTTGAAATAGTAATAAAATTACACTTAATATACTTTTCACAACTGATTTCCTATATTTCTCTGCCTCTATTTCACTGTGTCCGAGAATCGGGCACACGATATCCGGCAACTCGGCTAGGTCAGTTTTAGTCGTCCGAGAACTCGACCATAAGAGCTATGATGGTTTTTTATGAATATTTATCGAATTCTTCGGAATTAAAATTGAAATCGAATGTCTTTTTGTCAAGAAAAGATCAAAGATGACTCATGAACCTTCAGAATTCATAATTACAAAAAAAAAACACAAATTAAACGCTATTGTCTGGTAGAATATTCTTAACCGTGTGGCAATTGGGACACTCACGGTACTTTATTTTTGCACAAGTTCGGTTTCTGTCAATTCTAGGATGTTAAAGATTTTAACTTGCTAATTTTTCAAGAATTTCGCACAAAATTAGGAATAAAATTTGAATAATTTGATTGGCTTTACAGTTAATTTTTGATTTTCAAACTCGGTAAAAAAATAATAAAATCGATGAAAATAATGGAATGCTCGGTGGCTTGGCGCAGTGGGTAAGTTCGTTGCTCCACAAGCGAAAAGTTCCGAGTTCAAATCCCGGCCGGGTAGAACGGTGCGATCTAACCATTTAAAATCTTGATCATCATCGCACTATACCCTAAGCGGGTCAAAGCAATATAAAATAACGAAAAAAAAAATTATGGAATGTGACATTATAGGCTTCCGGATGGATGCCGCGTTTGGTTTCAGCATTGCGCCGACGTTTCGCAAACATTCCAGTCTGCATCTTCAGGGCTGTGAGCTCCGATTCCGAGCTCCGATGTCTGAGGGTAGCCCTTTTGTGCCTTCCCCTGTGATGGTGGAGGTAGGGGAAGGGAAGGGGGGGGAGGGATCAGCCAATCATATGTTTTAATTGATCAGCTGATCAATGTTTGCGAAACGTCGGCGCAAAGCTGAAACCAAACGCGGCATCCATCCGGAAGCCAATAATGTCATTAATCATGACCGCGAAAGCCTTAAAACTGAAAATAATGTAATGTAATAATTTTAGAATTTCTCAAATAGTAATTTGGTGGTAAAAAAATTGAAGTAGTTTAGCTTCCTGAGTTGAAGCATTTGCGGAATTATTTTCAATAGTAAAAAAAACAACTCCCGTTGGAAAGAATGGTCTCGTTTGATTATTCTGGAAGAGCTACTCTGGTATTTTCCTCTTTTCATTGTGCAATACTGAGGAATTCATCGGCGTAGTGCCAGGGTAATGTATGTTTCGCGTCAGCTAGGGTGGATTTGATTCATTCCTTGTGCCCAACCCCTCTCTCCATCTCTCATTGTGGCCTTCATTCCAGGTTTGCCACGCATTTCACGAGAAGTTTGAGCGGATAAAAAAAATTACGAAGGGAAGAAAAATAGTATCCGTCAGTGAACTTTACATGGGTGTCATAAGCCATGCGGGGGAGCTGCGCACTCAATTTGAAGATCGTCCACCGGCTGAAAAGTTCATAGAGGGTTCACGCCCCCTCTCTTCAATGGCGCTGTATAATGCTGGCCCATGGTTCACAGTTCATTTGACTTGCGGTTTTTTGATACTCTAGTCGTTTTATTTCATTATTTTCCGCTGGAATTTTTTGTATTGAATGCAAACTTTCTTTTTCGATCAGAAATTTTTTTTTTTAATGATATTTTGATATAAAATTTTTTTCAGTGTTTCAAATGACGAAAATTATTCATAGCTGACTATTTTATTCGATTAAAAAATAAGGGGGGTTCTCCTTTACACAGGAAAAAGTTTGGAGTTTCTAGAATAAAGTTACTAATAAAAAAAATCATGATTGTAGAAGACATTGTATTGCGAATATAAGAAACCTGTTATTTTATTTCAAAAGCCAAATCCCTAAAATTACTCATTTTTAGTGAGATCATAGAAAATCTTTGCGTTCTTAACCTAAGAACATTTGAAAGAAATATAATGCTGGAATAATTGAACATTAATTGAATCAAGATGTCAAAAAGAAGTCTAAAGTTGTTATGTTCGGAACAGCTCTGGATTCCAAAACCAAGATTTTCTCAAAATAAGACAAAATCGTCATCATAGAGCCAAAGGGGCGTACGACCCCTTACAAAGTTCTGAACTTCTGGGATTTTTACTGCAAATGAGGACTTTTTTCATATGTGTCAAATTTCTGGCAGAGTTTTTGAGTTTTGAGTATGTGAGAAAAAAATCACATAATTATCAACAGTGCCGAGTTTACATTTTCTGAGAAGTGAATAAAGAATTCATAAATTGTCGACATTCATTGTGTCAATTATTGATTATCATTCAGATGATTTCCACTCCCTCAAGTTGCTGAATGAAATCAATTTCATTTTTCCTTATTTTGTATGTAATAAATCCGACAAGTTGAATTTCCACTCTGGGAAGCCTCATCCATCTTCTTACTTGTCACCATTGAATTGCCCTCATTTGCTTACTAAAACAGTCCCTGGGCACTCATCAATATCCCTACAAGAATATCCCACTCCATCTGAATATTTTCACCTAAAAATTCCTCATTTCAAAACTCAATAATGTTTATTTCCCATAAAAAGGGCTCCACAGCTCAGCTAATAAGCCCATATATATTTATTCAACGGATCCCAGCTTCAAACGGGGGGCGAGTTTTATAGGCAAAAGGGGCAGGAGGAGCAAACGAAGTAGCTTATCATTTCGGAAAACCCGGAATACGAAAAGCAATGGGGATGGATATATTCTCCGTGCGAGAACCCATAAAGTGACCCCAGCCGGTCGAGCGTCGCTTCCACCCCAATCAGCCATAGTATCGTATATGCGTTTACATCCACCACCCCGTCCCCTCGCCGCATCCTTGCCTTCTCCATCAGCCTAGGTATACGCATGTGGCTTGGAGAAAATTATTGCTGTCCTTATACATTCGTCCACTGGATCGGAGCACGTCGAATAATTCGCTACTCTGAATTCGTGAGATAAGGGGGAGAGCTGAGGGTAGAAAAAAGTTCATGGCCGCTGAGAAGGGTAACTTCTTTCATTCTCACCCAATTTTTTTTTCGAATGAACAAAGTATATTACATTCAATTGAATGTATTTTATGTAATATTTTTTTCAACACCGCTCCTGTGATCGAGAACTTCATCCTTGAATCCAATACATTTTCCTTAATTAGAGAACTATATTGCTTTTGTTTGGGAACAACATGATATAAAGGGCTGCACATGCATTGTTAGAAAATTACTCTTGAAATTTCAAGTGAAAAAGCTTGAAATTTCTAACACCGACAAAGTTACATGAAATTCCTGTATATTTCTTCATTGACGAATCAGTTAATTTCTTAAATTTCAGAAATTTCTAACAGAGTGTGCACAGCTAAAAATTTATGACTGGAATTTTTAATATACTTCTTGGGAATTTTTTTCAAGTGACAGTCCCATTGAAATTTTTAGCAATTTTGTTATCGGAAAAATCAATGACTTGATGAAAAAAATCAATAGAAACTGGAAATTTCAGTTCAATCATGTCATAAATATGAGTAGAAATTAGAAAAACTCCGATAAATATATTCTTCACTTTTTAATTACGGGAGAAGTCCCTAAAACTAGAAAATCTGTCGTGGCTCAACAGACCTATCAAGCGACTTTTGATATGCACAGAGAAATTTGATACAAAATTATAGAATTTCAGCTCTTTGCACTTACTGAATTTCACCATTGCGAATCTCTAATTATTGATAATAGATTACTGAAAATCAGTGACGTATTCCTAAGAATCAGTGATATGTCCCAGAAAATCAAAACTTTTTTAAGGTTGAAATTCAGCAGACGAATATTTTTTTCATGTATAAATAACAGAAAGAAAATTACATCTCAAGTCATTATTTTTTATTTTAGCAAAATTAATTGAACTAAAAATTAATCATTTTCAGACTTCTTCGGCTCTATATAATGATAATTTATGAATCTAGCCCCTTGCGTTAATTGCGCTCCCATATTCGTGAAATGACACGAAAACAACAACATATTCCTCGGTTGAACTTTGAACGCAAACCTCATGAAAACTAGTGAATACAAAGTCAATGCTGGAATCAAAACAAATGAAGAAATTGATAAATATTCACATACGGAGAAGGGGATATTGTGCAAAAATATTGACTAACTAACCTAAAGTCATTTTTCCACTGATAATACTCGGACTCTTCTGTGTATCGGCAATGGCAGCCAGAGGTATCATCCAATTCATTACTGGGCCCCAGAAGTGCGTGCTGTAATCATTTTCATTTCAATTAAATTTATCAATACTCATGAGGTTATTAATGAGGTTGAAGTACAAACCTCGTGAGCCAGTCTCGTGTTTCCTTGCTCGACAAAAATTTTTTCATCTTGCTCGCCATGATGAAATCGTTGATCGATCAGAGAGCAGCGATGAAATAGTCTTCTATGCAATATTTAATTTCGTTGGGTAAATGAACGTCAATTTACTCTCATCAATTCGCTGGTTGTCACATTGACTCGCCGATTCTTCGCAATTCATAAATCAAAAAACGTGAGCATAAATAGAGAATGAAACTTATCATCAGCTTAATCTCCTAAATATCTCGATTTCATTGATTCCCCTGTCATCAAGTTTTTAGGGTCACGTATAGATACGATACAAGTTCACTTCGTTATCGCCATCTGGCAGAGCCACACAACCACAACGCTTTTCACTCGTTTCCAACATAAATAATACCTTCGATTCCCTTGCAACTGTTCTACAAACTTTCCCTGATGCAATAACGATTAAAAAATGAAATAACTATGAATTATCCTTAAACTATGAATTATCAGAAACTAGCAGAAGCTCGATACATCAAAGAAGGTGAACAGACAATACTACATATGTGAAAACTCGAAAAAACAGCGGACGATGATGAACTGATTGCTGAATCGATTTTACATTTAAGATATTTTTTAACTTCTACGATTCTCACACCTCAAATACTGGCAGAGGACTGAGACTTCTGTTTCTTCGATTCGACGATGAAACTCACATAATTGAGAAATCTGGGGTCGTCATGACTACGGAGCAACGCGTATGTAGCGAGATTACCATATCATCTCGTGTCATAACAAAATTGAGAAATTGGGATTCTCACTGCGAACCGTCGCATTTTTTATGATTTATCATTGTACTACACGCATTGTGGCAACGTCCTTACGTACAAGAATTCACTTTACGCACACTCGTGAACTTTACACACGCCGTGCGGAAAACAATCGCATTGTGTACACTAAACCTTTTCAAAAAGTGCAGTTTTCAGGCCGGTATCACACAGAAGTGTTTTTTGACCCGTGGGAGGTGTGTAACCCTCGCCGAAGGAGACAATATGATAACGCAATACCCACATGGAGAGAAATTTTTGATAAAAATTATCCTACCGTTCTGTAAAAGTGTATCATGTTTCCCCATTTCTATCCCGAAATTTAGTAAAAATTACTATGTGATGATCAAATTTTATTCTACGTTAGAGAAATTTTATCCTGATAAAAATAAAAATTACCGTGCCGGTAAAGTAAAAATTACTGTACCGGTAGGGTAATATTTACCAACCGTTCTAAAATTTTCGTTGTTATCTACATAAAAATTACTGGATTGGAAGGGTAAAATTTATTATGCGTCAGGATAAAATTTCTCTAACGTAGAATAAAATTTGATCATCATATTCTAATTTTTACTGAATTTCGGGATAGAAATGCAGAAACGATGACTCATGATACACTTTTATAGAACGGTAGGGTAATTTTTATCCAAAATTTCTCTCCGTGCAGTACTTTCACAGATTCCAGAGGGCAAACAGCACAATATCAATTCCTGTATAAGAGGTATAGACAAATAAGTTTTGTGATTTTTTGATGAATAAAAAAGTTGGTCTCAATATTTGTACAACAAAAACTGTCTTTTAATCCTTTCGTTTTCCCCCAAAATTCGCAGTATGAATAAATTGCACTTCAGTTGTACGTAGGGACTACACGCGCCAGGATTTTCTCCCAGTGTACACTGAGAGAAAAAACTTCTTTTGATAAAGAAGGTTTACTTGATCCATGAAATAATTCTCTTATCAATTTTAAGAATCGTGAAATCTCCGGATGAATAATTTCGTTCTCAGATTGAGAGGAAAAAAGTTTTCCAACAGGATGAAATTCTCTTATCCCGAGAAAATTTTTAACCGTTCTCTGGACTAGAAATGATGTCCTTCCCATAAATTTATGTAGTTTGCATTACATCAAGATTTTTTTTTATCAGGACTTCGATTACAAAAAATCTTGCACAAAGAGCACAACACTTAAGATCAATTTTCTATACACTTGAATTGATAATGAAAGTGTTCGTCGTGCAATCGAAACAAGAATTCCTCAGTTGGAGATGATGAGTTATCAGATCGAGAAAAAGAGAATCCTCACAATCCATTAAATTCTAGATATAACGGAAACTATATGAATTGATGGAAAGACTTAGGCTAACATTAAAAATTTTCTCGCAAAAGCGAATCTTATTCTATTGGAAGATTTCTTTTTCTCAGCGTGAGTAAAAATTATTTACCTGGTGATTTCACAATTCTAGAAATTAACAAGACAATACTTTGCTGTTGAAAATTTTCAAGTTATGAATTTCTTCATTGAAGGGAAGGCTCACTTCTTAGAAAACTTTTTTTTCTTTGTGTAGATTTTAAATTGACACAAGTTTTCATGAAACAATCTTTTATTCATACACAAAAAGAGTCGGACATTCGGATAAACTGGATTTATAGCCTTCCTATTTAAATCCAGTCGTGATCTACGTGAATCCAAAATTTAATGTTTTTGGGTGATAATTCCGAAATCTCCAGTCGTCTTGACCATACGGAGTAGCACGAATGTAGCAAGATGATTGTATCATCTCCTGTCATAACAGAATTGAGGAATTAGTATTCCCACCAGCCGCCATTTTTTTCAATTCATCATCGATCATCGTACGTCACCCATTTACATGAGTATTTTCGTGGGTCGTTGATCATCACCCTCACTACAATTTTTTCACCTCGGACCACCCTGAAAGTCACAACCCTAGTACGTCTTATCGTGATAATAAATGCACAGGTTATTATTTCGCGCGTATAATATTGATGGCGCTATGAATGTTGCATGTGGGAGGGTGGCTACGCGGCATTTCTCGGGTCCTCGAGTTTGCCTTTGTAGGGAGAGAGGGTTGGCTCGAGTGTGTAGCTATTGGAGGTAGTGGGTAAAGCTAGGGCTATGACTGGGAGAAGAAGGAGCATGCGCTCTAGTTGCTGGATATTATTGATCTGGAAAAAAAGGGCGAAAGTAGAAGGGGTCCAGCGTCGTGCTCAGCTTTTCATGCACCCTTGACTCGTGGTGTTATCAACGCCATTGTCAGAGTCATTTTTGATTCTATGGAACATTTACATTTACATTTTATATAATTCGAATAAAAAATGAAAAAAAAATGTTTTACATAATTAGCAATCAAGAAGTGGTTTCCAGTTTAGGGAGAAATATTTGCAAAGATTATAATCTCTTTGCAGGGGAATTTCTACCGTTTTTATGACCTTTAATGGATTTCTCGGAGCCATTTTCTGGTTGTGTGAGCTAGTTAATACTAATAATGAAGAAGCATAAAAGGGAATTTGCGGCTGGAAAATTCTCATGAAAACTTGTTTCTTTATATCGTTGATAAAAGAAAATATTTGAAAACTTATTTGAATAGTGATGCCGTCGAGATTACACGATAAAATTTTTGGATAGATCATGACGGTCGGAAAAAACATTGAAAGTTTTGGAATCGTCGCCATCTCGAGAAACATGGGATCGGTGCATCTCATCACGATTTTAATAGGACTTATCCTGTCTGGGTCTCGGTTTAATCGTTACATTTGACATATATATCAAATATTAATCATGTAATTAACTTGCGGAATTTAAGGATATCCAAGTATCGTTAACATTTTGGTACAGACCACACTATAGATTCAACCATTTTCAATCATTAAATTTGTGAATTAAATTGCGTGAGAAAATTTTTAAAAACATCGTAAATATTCAGCGTCATTCAAGTTACATTTTCCACTAAATTATCATTGTTTCAAACATTCGTTGTTTATAAATAAATAATTAAAATTGTTTAAACTTTCGAAAATCTAATTTTTTTAGATGTGAAATCAAATTGTGGTAAAATTGTGAATACGAATAAGTTTGCTACGATCCCGAACCAATGAATTATATGGTGAAAAATTGATTGTTTATAATTGAAATCTATTGATTAAAAATGCTCGTAATTTTAAAAAATTGTTATTTTTACATTATTTTATCAATCTTCCACCAACAGTAGACTTTCTAATTTTTTTCTGATTTTTAAAATGTTTTTTAACGATTCAATATCGAGATTCAAATTCAGACTTGCAAAGTTTAAATATTAAAATCATTGTAAAATGTCCGGAAACTTCGGGTCCAATCGAGCTCAAATGAAAGCTCTGACGTTAGACTACAAAAATAGAAAAGTATTTGACTGGAGGAACAATAGCTAAAGTACTTAGATATCCTTAAAATATAAAAATTGAAACAATTCCAAAATACCTTCAATGTTACATAATCACCCCTATGATCATTAATTCGGCATCTCTTATCTTTATTCCACGTACTCAAAGACATCGTTACAGTTCCCCTTTGCCTCAGCCTCCCATCACCTAATAGTTTTTCCTCAAAGTCTCACTTTCCTCAACATTCATACGTATTCCATCCAGGACCTAATGCGAAAGTTAGTCCACGCCTTTGAAGTCGACTGCTGACACACGCTAGGCTTTTTCACCGTCGATCTGAATGCGTCCTCCGTACCTTCTTTCATTTTTTCTCCTTTCATTCCCCTACCCCCAGAACTATCGCCGTGCGTCTATATACGAGCGAGTTCCAATAAAAAATGTCGAGAACTTGTTTCATCAGGTTAAAGTGGATATCCGGGTGTTCACACACCCTCGAGCAAGAAACGCTCTTTCCCTCTGACGCCCTCGATGAATAGAACCATTTGCATCGAGGGTCCTTTCGTTACTTCTTTCTCCATTTCTGTATTTCCCTTCTCTGCATTGCAAATGACAAATGATTCATCCCTTCTTTTTCTTGAAAATAAGAATATGCAGATGAGTGAAAATGAAGGAGAGAATTGCCAGTAATGAAAATGCAAATGAGACTGGGAGTCTCTTTCTCTGAAGTTTTATTTATTCACCCGTTTGGCTGGATAGTAATTGTTCAGTGGTCCTTGATGTGCGCCGCTGCCATTTCGGTGTAGAGATTCTTGGCGCAGATCAACGAGTCACGAATCGCGCACGTCATTCACTGCGGCTTTGGTTCACTCCGCTTTCTCACTCTTACTCTTATTGTTCTTTCCGTTTCTTTTCTCTTCCATATGAAGCAGGAGAGGTGAGTATGGAGAGACAGAAAGAACCAGGGAATTCTCGCATCGCAGAGTCTTTAATTGTCGTTTCTTCCGACTTGCGATCGACGCGCGTTCCTTTTATTACTTTATTGTTTTTTCAGCTTGATTTTTTTTAATTTCTATTTTACTTTTTGCATTTTTGGTATTCTTGGGTGATTCATTGGTCCTTTTGGGGGGATTCTGCGGGCGTTTTCATTTGTATTTATGTGAATGGTTGATGGACTGAAAAATAAACATATGTCACCGTCAGGGGGTGGCAAGGAGAAGAATAAGCAGTGGTGCATTTGGACGTTTCCACTTGCTGTCCTGCTGTGAGACGGGGGTGAATGGCGCTGGGGCATACACTCAATTTCCAAGCACTCTTCTGTGGATCATTTAAAAAAATATAAAGAAATAAAATGGTGGAACGTGAGTGGAACTTGCGGTAATGGTATAGAGAACAAAAATTAAAATAAGAAGACGGAAAAATCGCAGTATAAAAATTGGATCGAAATATTACTGCAATTTTCTTTT